TGAGGGTCAGCGCATATAGCGCTAACACGGTCCCGAAACACCCTGCCTCGTACCGCAGCACGAAGGGGTTGATCGCAACCAACCGATGAACCGCAGCTCATCATAACGTTTGATCACACCCAAACGGTGGACCGCAGCCCAAATAGTGTGTATTTCTGATCGCAACCAGATTATGAGCCGTAACTCATTTATAACGTTTGATCGCAATCAAACGGTGGACCGCGGCCCTATATATATTTATATACCTGACCGATCGCAACAGGCCTGGTTAACAGCCGATGCTTCTCAACCCATCCAACTGCCCGTATAGCCAATTGATCGCAACCAATTGGGGTATCATGCACACATAACACATAGCAAGCACATGCAACCCACATTAGCACATAGGGAGGGGAAAAACGTATAAATAAAACATATGCGTGGTCAACCACATACTAGGAATAAGCCTAAGGGGTTCATACATCTTTCACCTAGGCCAACGGGTTACCAATTCAACTAGCATGCAATACACAAGACTCTTTTATCCTACGAACGGTACCCGAAACATCAAACTAGACTCAGGCACGACAAACGGGGTCCGATGGGATTGCATATCAATGGAGCCTTATCATAAACCTCAAGATCATATCATAATCATCATAAAAGCCTTATCAAGACACAAGCATAGAATTGCATATCAATGGAGCCAAAGAAGAAGATTATAGCAAGGAAAATAGGTTTTGTTGAGACATGGGTTACCTCTTAGCCTTAATTAGAATCCTTGGCTACTAAGGTTCTTTCTCTAAGATCTCATCTTCTTGATTTCTCCTACGTTTGGTGATAGGGGAATTCTTGTGTGGTGTGAATTCTAGGTGCCTCCTATGTCCTTATATATATCTAAGAGTCCTAATTAGGGTCTGAACGGTAGGGATTTACTAATTCTATTCCTTATAAGACTAAGGGTTTGGTTTAGGGATAAGGGTCCATGGTCTATGGTGGACCCTTCCTTAATTAATTAAGGGGATTTAATTCTCTTTTAAGAGTAAGTCATTAAATAATTAGTTTGGGTTAGAGGCCGTAACACGGGGTGTTACACTCGTAGTTTGAGATGTCTAAACTCTAGTTATGTTTATGACTTTATTTCCAAATTCTAGACTTTTGTTGATTTATAGACTTTTCGAGGATGTACACTTTTGGGGTGACTTTTTCCCCCTTATGTTTTCGTTATTTAATATGGATATCAGATATTTATTTTATTTCTAGTTCTACCCCTTAGCCTGTGCAATCACCACGGAGTGGTGGTTGTGGCGGTAACATTCCCACTAGTTATCTTTTTAGTTATTATTTCCGCTGCTTAGTTTATGTTAATGATTGTTTAGAGTTGTGATTAAGAGATAGAAAAGTGGGGTGTTACACACCCGGAAGCGCTTGTGGGAGGACACCTCCTATTTGCGCTTTTGCCTGACTGCCTCCTCCGTGTCGGTCAATTGGTTGGCTCTCTGGATAGCCTCAGCGTATGTCTTGGGATTCTTATCCCGTAGCTTACTGTAATACCCATCCGCTCTCAAGGACTCGATGAAGAACGTTAGGGCTGTCTAGTCGTCCAGACCATCGACCGCCTGAACCTCCTTTTGCTAGCGTGCTATGTACTTGCGTAAGCTTTGTCCCTCATCCTGGTGTACTCGAGATAAATCCGAGACAAACTTCTTGGGCTTCATGCTCCCGGCAAAGTGCGTCAAAAACTGACGGGCCAGTTCCTCAAAGCTATTGATCGATCCCGCGGGTAGCCTAAGGAACCATCGCTGGGTGGGCCCGACCAAGGTTAGGAAGAATGCCTGGCAGATCATTGTGGCGTCCGCCCCGTTCACATGCATTTTGGCGTGGAAGCTGATGACATGGTCACGCGGGTCTATCGTTCTGTCATAAGTAGGGTGGTCGGGCAGCTTGAACCCCGCCGGTGCCCTATATACCTGCACTTCTGCTGAGAAGGGGACGCAGTCGATAGGCTGTCGGTCACCGGCCTATCTTTCCCCTCGATCATTTGCTTGAGCTCTTAAACAGCGGCGACCAGGTCGGCCATCTCTGGGTTGGGCTGTTCCTGGAACATAGACGATTCCCCCATACCTTCGGCAGCTTCTCGCTCACGCCTGGCAGCTATCCTTCTTTGAATGACGGCTCGGGGTCGCTCTCCCACAGGCCGCCCTCTCCCCCTCCTGGCTGAATGAGCAGGGAGCGTTGTTTGGCTCGACCACCTAACCGGTCCAACACCGACTGAGCGCGAGCTACGGGGCCGACCGCGCAGCTTGCGGATTCTTACCGGGGAGAGCCTGTCCAATTCCACGCACGTATGCATCGAAGGCTTGTACCAACAATTCCGTGAAGTTGGCTTGGGCTTGAGCGATAGGCGGTGGTTGGTCGACCCTCGGTGACTCGTGAGTCGGCGCGACAGTACGCTCGGTACGTGCAGCCGATTGTTCACCAGGAGCATTGCGACTTAGTTGCTCCCTTAAATCACCCACGGAGGCGCGGCTGCCAGCGGGCAGTTCCCCCGCGTTGGCGGTGGCAACAACGTGGCCATTAGCCAACGGAGCCGCGGCATTTTGTACGGTGTTCTGGTTACTCCATCGAGTGCGAGCCATTAGCGAAGCTTTGAGACGGGACCTTTTGTTTCGATCCCCAAAAACGACGCTAATGTTGGTTTTACGACGTTCGGGTGTCGTTCGGCGGGCTAACACTACCGTAAAAAACTTAAAATGCTTTATGAGTGAAAGACTCAGCGTAACTGAGAGAATAATGTAGTATTATTTCTCTAGGGTTTCAGTCGCTCGACTGCCAGAGACTTACATGATGATCCCGTGGGGATATTTATACAAGAATACAAGATCCATACAAGGAAAGATAGGACTGACACAAAGCCAAGATTTACAAGGATAGTAGGACTAATGTAGAGCCAAATCAGTTAAGGAATCTGGTTTTCGTGATGCCATAAATACCTAGACTAGTAAAGGAAGCTGCTTGTATTAAATGGGGAAGGAAATCTCCACGAAATCTGCTTGTAACCGCTCCTGGGCGAGCACCCAGCCGGGGATGCCCTGACCGCCAAGGGAATGGCTCGAGGGGGACCACGGTACTCAGGCAAGGACACACCGGCCGTAGAACATGGTCACCCGGCTGAGTTCCTGAGTAGTACTCAGTCGAGGACACACCGCCCGCCGAGCATGGTCGCCCAACTAGATCCCCAGGAGGGTATCCGATCGGGGACGCGCCGACTACTGAGGCTGGTCGCTCAACCGACTCTCGTGTGCGAACCCAACCGAGGACACGCCGGCTACTGTGCCTGGTCGCTTTAACCAAGCTGAGGGGGTATCTGGTCGGGTAGGTGTCCGTCTCTATGGATGGCTAGTTGCTGGGGATGACCGATCGCGATCTTCAAGCATCTCCTATGGCGAACGGGAACCATAGACGTCGTTCAACTTGCTAAGTATCAGGCCATGCTCGAACCTGACTGCCTTGCCTCACACTCCCGACCGGGTATCCAATTTGGGGTATCTATCAATTATTATTTTAATTAAAATAATAATTACATGAATATTTGTATAATTACAATTCGTTGAATTTGTTTTATAATTACAATTTAGTTTTTGATATATATATACACACACACACACACACTGAAGGTATAAAAGTATAATTACACAATATTAGTATAATTACTTAATAATTATCATGGTAATTAAAAGATAAATTACACAAATATTAGTATAATTACTTAATAATTATTATGGTAATTAAAAGAAAAATTACACAAATATTTTCTTGAAAACAAATTACACAAATATTAGTATAATTGATTAATAATTATTATGTTACTTAAGCTAATAATTACAAGGATATTAGTATAATTACAATTAAATATGGATCGTTAGATTTTTTATATAATAATTACAATTAATTCAATCATATATAGAGGATGATGAAAAAAAAAAAAAAAAAAAGAGTAAATGCGATATGGTGAAAAAAGAATATACTTAAGGTATAAAAGTATAATGACACAAATATTATTATAATTGACTAATAATTATTAAGGTAATTAAGCTAAACATGGATCGTTGGATTTATTTTTATAATAATTACAATTAAATTATTTATCCTTTTTTCTCCTAGTTATTTTAGTAATAATATAATTACATAAAGCATATTACATATAGATTTTTAAGATAATTACAAACAAACGAATCATATATTATTCAATTAATTGAATAATACTTTTACACTAATCTCATAATCAAATAAATGTATATTTTTAAATATTTAAATTGTTTATAATTATATCTTTAATTCTATTATCTAAATATATAATAAAAAAATTTATTCATGCATCACATGGGTAATTGGGCAATTATTTGCTTGAATTCAAGTAAGAATAACATAAAAAAAAAACAAAAAAAAAAAAAAACAAAAAAAAAAAAAAACAAAAAACATAATCGATCCAACATATTTCATTAATTGCACAATATAATATTTGTTGTTATAATTTATATAACAATTATATCGATTCAAATATTCTTAAAATATTATAACAAATCAATTTTGTGAAACGCATGAGTGAAAAATACTAGAATTTTAAGAATATTTGAATCAATATACAATTACATAAATTATAACAACAAATATTATATTGTGCAATCTATTTAATATTAAAAATACAATAATATTAAAATTCCTATTCCTATTTTTTCGTCACTACTCAATATTGAATCAATGATATTTAGTTTACTCCAATCTTTTTACTTGACTTTGTTATTTGCTTTTCATTATTTATAAATAAACTAAGAGTTAATACCCCCAATGGTCCTTCGAGTATTAGCCATGAACCCGTTGTGGTCATTCGAATTTTAAACGACCACGAGACGTCCTTCATCTTTTAAAAAATAACCACCCGTGATCCTCCGTTAAGTTTGGTTTTAAGTGGACGTTAAATGTAAGAGCAATGTTGTCTTTTCACCCTTCTTTTCAGGTTGCGGCTTTATTGCTTCTATCACAAGAAGAAGAACGACACTTATTAGAGAGGAATATGCATGAATGCAGCACTGCACAAAAAAATTAGGGAACTCCAGAGAAACCTGTCGCAGGTAATTTTGCATTATTATTGTATATTCATCAATTTAATATTTATGGATTTTCCAGACACTTGTTTACTTGATGTCCTTGAACCTTTGATGTGAGATTGATGTAATGCTATGTTCATAGAATCATAGGTTACCAATGAGAAGGTGAACGCTCTCATGGAACTCGCACAACTGAAGCAGGAGTACCAATTGTTGCTACAGTATGTTGATCTTTTCCGTGATAGTGTGGACACTTTGTGTATCCAAGCTTCATCAAGCATTCTTTTTATTTTTTTTTTTTAAATTTCCAACTACTTTTCTTAAATGTTCATCACTTAGTAGTGAAATGTTGTAGGAAAGATGATCAGGGTATACTTTCAACCGCTTTATTTAAAATGTTCACGACTTGGTAGATAATGACATGTTGTAAGAAAGATGATCAGGATATTAAACAAGGAAAACCTCTTTCCAAGATTGGAGGGAAGAAAATTGTTCAAGATGGGGAAGGAAGATTTAAAAATCTGCTGAAGAAAACTTATTTGAAACGCTGGGTTAGTGATTCAGAAGGAAACGATGCTGAATCTTACCTGACTTTTGAAGCCAACAGCATAGGGTTTGTAAGGTTCATACAAAGACGCCGCCGGCGAAGACGACGCTGCCGCCTCCACGACGTCGTTGTCATCTTCGTTCTCGGTTCTCCCCTGCAACCACCCTGTGTATAAACCCAAAATGCTAATATAGGTGAAAAGACAACATTGCCCTCACATTTAACACCCTTTTGACACCAAACTTAACGGGAGGACCACAGATGCTTTTTTTTTTTAAAGATGGAGGACGGCTCGTGGTCATTTAAAAGTCGGATGACCACAGGTGGTATATGGCTCATACTCAGAGGACCATTGGAGGTATTAACTCAATAAACTAATTTGTTTTTCTTTCTTTTAAGAGTTGATGTTATCGGATTCAAATAAAAAACAGTTTGCTTTGGTGGAGCTGGAGAAGTTGCTATCTTTGTGGGGGGAAGATTCTGAAGGACTTTCCAGAAATGTCAATTGCAAACGAGACTAGCATGGGTTTGAGTGGAAACATGTTGATAGCCGAAGAGTTGGCGTATAACAAGGAATTGTTGAAGATGGAGCATGAAACATTGGTAACACAATTGACCGACGAGCAAAAGAATGTTTACGACTTTGTGATGAATGATATTGATTCCAATGAAGGTGGATTGTTCTTTGTGTATGGTTAAGGAAGAACATGCAAGATGTTCGTGTGGATAACGTTATCGTCAAAGATAAGGAGCCACGATGATATTATTCTAAAAGTTACTTTCAGTGGAATATCATCTTTGCTCTTGCCGGGAGGCAGGACGGTGCATTCTAGAATTGCTATACCACTCTTTTTGAACGAAGATTCCACGTGCAATATATCGCAAAAACAAAAAATTAAAGATCATAGACATCACTCTGACAAATTAAAATATATATATATATATATATATATATATATATATATATATATATATATATATATATATATATATATATATATATATATATATATATATATATATATATATATATTGTTAGAAAAAGTGGGAGCCATAGTGAACGATTTGAGATATTGCTTACAGTAAAACGTAAAAGGACACGGTGGGAAGAAGCATTAACACAATTTAAAACTTTATCGAATTAAGTATTTATAGAGTACTACCTTATAAAGAATCATGAGTATTTAAAAAAAAAAAAGTATTTATAGAGTATGTGAATTAATATTCAAAAATTATTGCATTGTTAAAATTGGTAAAGTGAAATCACTATTTTCTCCATGACTTAATAAACAATCTATGTGTCAAATAAAATAATATGATACATTAGGGAGAAATTAATAGAAAATGAATTATAGAAGGGTGTTTGCTCAAAATTACAAAGAAGATTAGGATATTAGGATTCTAGTAATTAATTGACAACACACTTCATGATATAGAGAGAGAGATATACAAGAAGAAGTAATATATTTAAACAAGGAGTACAAGAGTCCTAACACTCCCCTGCAAGCTCACGTCGGACGACAACGTGAAGCTTGTCTCGCAGAACTGCAAACCGCGAAGTTGGAAGCGATTTAGTGAAAATATCTGCTAACTGATCTTTGGTTGAAATAAAGTTCACTTGAAGCTCTCTCAAAGCCACCTTTGTCCCGCACGAAGTGATAATCAATCTCTACGTGTTTGGTACGAGCATGAAACACAGGATTGGAATACATATAAGTTACACCAAGATTGTCAGTTGTCACACCACAGCTTCGGTACTAGCACCTGATACCCAGTTCACGTAACAACGAAACAACCCACGTGACTTCTGCACAAACATCAACAAGAACTTTGTATTCAGCTTCAGTAGAGGATTTGGCAATGGTGCGCTACTTCCGACACACCCACGAGATTAAATTAGAACACAGGAAAACAACAAAACCACTTGTAGACTTCTGATCAGCCGGAAAACCAGCCCAATCCAAATCAGAAAAAGCATGGATGTCAGTCGAAGAAGATTTGCACAAACATAAGCCAAAATGCAAGGTACCTTTGACATACCTCAGCACACGCTTTGCTGAGCCAATGTGTCACAGATGGAGCATGCATATGCTGGCACAACTAATTGACATCAAAGGATAGATCAGGACAAGTAACTTTTAAGTACTGCAGGGCCCTGGTTAGACTTCTATATTGAGTGGGATCAACTAAAAGGCTTCGCAGCAATATCCACAGGACGAGACATGGGAATTGGAGTAGCCAAACGATTTACAATCAACCATCCCTGCACACTTCAGAATCTCAACCATATAGCGCCGTTGAGAGAGTAACAAACCATCACCATGCCGCACCGTTTCTATTCCAAGAAAGAAACTCAGAGCACCAAGATCACATATTTTGACAGACAGTTTAGCCAACAAAGTAGAGACCAACGACGCATCATTCCCCATAATGAGAATATCATCAACATAAATCAATAAGTAAAAAGCTGAAGAGGCCTATGTGAAGATAAATAAAGAGACATCCGTTTTGGATGCCTACAAGCCAACAAACACAAGAACAGCTAAGATATATATATATATATATATATATATATATATATATATATATATATATATATATATATATATATATATATGTGTGTGTGTGTGTGTGTGTGTGTGTGTGTGTGTGTGTTTCATTATCTAATAAGACTAATTAAGAAAATGTTTAATACAATAATTCATTATATGAGTTTTTTGCACTTTTGGTCCCACGACTATGGTGTCGCTAACAATTTTGATCCACGACTTTTAAAATTTATAGAATTGGTCCACGACTATAACTTTGTCAGCAAATTTGGTCCTTTCAGTGCATTTTCCGTTTAATCTTTTGTACTCTCTATTTTAATATAGGTAATATTGTCTTTTCCATCTCACATTTTCCGTTAAAATGGGTAAATTCATCATCCTCCCCATTTTTCGTTAGACAGAGGTTGTCACTAACAACATTAATTATTTATTTATGTCATTAGTTTTTGAGATAAAAAATACAATATTACCCATGTTAAAATGGAGAGTAAAATTTTTCGACAAGAATTGAACGAAAAATGCACCAAAATGACCAAATTTGCTAAGAAAGTCATAGTCGTGTACCAATTTTACAAGTTTTAAAAATCGTGGATCAAAGTTATTAATGACACCATAGTCGTGGGATCAAAAGTGCAAAAAACTCTTGATTATATTATTGTTGTCAACTATGGAACCAATGACTCCAACCTACTACTATTAATTTTCTCACTTGGGACATAATTGCAAGTTCATGTGACATGTTTGCATTTATCCATTAAGAAGTCAACTTTCAAGAACTAAAAAAAGGGAAAATAAATGTAGTAGAAAGCTGCCACAGCTGAAGTGGCAAGAATCCATTGGTCTTTGCTTCTCTCTCGGAACAGAATTCTGTCTCTCTAGAAACATCCATAAACTAAGCCGCCTCGCCGTCGGTTTTCTCAGAGCCGGCCAGCTGAGTTTCACCCGCAAGACTCGAGCTTGGAACTCTTATGCCAATGCACCTTCTGGGCCGTCTAGGGTTTTCATTCTAAGCATTTCATCCTTGTTGAATCGTAATGTACATTCATTTCACTGTGATTCAGCCCTAGTTTCTTCAAATCGAAGCAGGTTCAGTCTAATTGAGTCAATGTCTGGTCCACCGCGGGAGAAATCGGTGAACCACGCCGAGTCGGAGGTCCGACCCGTGCTCGGGCCTGCGGGTAACAAGGCGAGATCGTTGGAGTTACGGAAGCCCGCCGAGAAGTTGAAGTCTAACAAGGTGGAGAAGTCGCCGGAGAGCGACGGCGGAAAGAAGAAGTCCTCTGTAATTCCGGCGGCGGCGGCGGAGGGGGGCGATCAACTGTCGAAACCCCGGTTTCAGGTGGCAACGTCGAAGAAATGTGGGAGCGTAGGTTCAGTCCTTAGGCGGCAGCAGGAGCAGAGGTCTTTTCTGATGAGGTCGAATTTGTCGATGAATGCTTCTTGCTCCTCCGACGCGTCGTCTGAGTCTTCTCAGAGCCAGGCATCGACGGGGAACATAAGCCTAGATAGCGTGACCCCGAGATCGTCTCGGAGGAGGCAATGTGGCCCGAAAACGGCTGAGAAAGCTGGTAGTGAAGTTGAGAGCTTGTCTATGAGTTCAGATGATTTCCCTCTGGTGAAGAAAAGGTGTGCCTGGGTGACAACAAATACTGGTATGTTCATACTTCAAAGCCTCTTTGACTTTTAGTAGATTATATCTTACTAACAAGTAAAAATGCCTGTCCACTGTGAAATTTCCCATACAAGGATAACTGCCACGGCATTGATGTTGTTTCATAAGATATCTTAGGCATCAGAGTTTGTAATGTGTTCCTGTAATCAATCAATTCATTGCATAATGAAACAGGGTCATTGACTATTCGTCTATCTCTAGAAGGCATATCTGTAAAAAGATTTCATCTTTTGGTTTATCTTTGTACATGGTATGTACTATGTACAATCCCTTCATTTTACACTCTCACATTTTAAGCAAGTTTTCTTTTTTGAGTGACAAGATAAACGCACCGCCACTACCCGAGTAAACCAACTTAGTTGACTGGCTCAAACCAGGAAGGCCAATAGGCTGCTCTTGAAGTTTATTGTTTTGATTATATGAACTGATGATTGATGCATTAACCTTGCTGGGATGCTGCATATGCTTAGCCTTTCATTTGCTTTTTCCCCCTCTATTCTTTTCCCTCAAAGTTGGACCAAGAATCCTGCCCTTAGAGGACAAGCTGATAATTAACTGTAAAGATGAATGCTTTAGGGCACAAGACAGCTCAGATAGGATTCTAAGATTCCAATGGTTTAGATTTTACATTGCAAAGATGACTGCTTTGTAAGCAAGACTCTTTAAACAAGATTATTATTATTATTATTAAATATAAAGAATTTGGGCCTTGTTAACTACCGAAGCATGTGGTTCTGCGGTTCTGCGGTTCTGCGGTTCTGCCTGTTGCATGGTGAGCTAGATTCCTGTGAAAGTAGAGTGGCCTTCTCCCCTGTGATATGCATAAAAGTCTGCCAATGCTCTTTTGTTACCACCCATCCTTTGCACAGATGTAGAAAGAAATATTAGCTAATTTCAGGATTTAACTGACCTTTTAAAGTTTTCAATAAAATTGACCTTTTAAATGATCTTTTGATAGTGACATCGCTTTGACTTTTGGTAAAGTAGGGAACAGATTGTGTGCTAAAGACGAAATACTCCAATTTCCTGTGCATGCCATGACATGCGGTAGCTATTACCTTTACCGTGTAATATATATACCCAGGGACGGAGGGAGAGAGGGGGCAGGGGGGCGGCTGCCCCCCCTCATCCCACCCCCACCCCATATATAGTATTTGTATGTATATATGTATATATAGTACATGTTTTAGTATTAGTATAAAAAAACTATAAAATGTTAACAAGAAGTGAGTTAGAGTAGGTGGTAGAGCACATCTTTAGTAATAATAATAATAAAGTTAAGGGTTCCAATCTTAGCATTAACATAGTTTTACAAATCTTTTTTAATAGCTTTTTTAATATTACACACACACACTCTATAATAAGATGTGTAATTTATAATGTGTTTTCTATTCAAATTATTTTATTAGTTATGTTTCATATTTTGTTATGAATATTTTTATAAAGTTTCGATGTGTTTTATTTTTCGTCCATATCCAACAATATTTACAATTATATTTCTTAGATAGTTTATTTATTTATTTTTAAATTATCTCTTTTGTTTTAATGTTTTGTCTTTTCTGGAAAAATTTTCTGAATCCGTCTGTACTGTTTCGCCCCCCTCAACCGAATTTCTGGCTCCGTCCCTGTATATACCCCAATTTTCCTATGTATGACATACTTGTAAATTTGCACATTATCTAATTATAGTTCAACTGCAAATGGAGTATTTTTTTATCAGTTCAATTGTAAGTTGTTTAAAACATTTGTACTTGATTATGTCCTTTAGGAATGCTCTTTACTCTCATCAATTTTTACACACACTCCAATTTATGAAAAGTAAAGACATACTTGCAAAGCATTAATTTCCAATAAGTGTATGTTAAATTTTTTAAATACATGTAGTTATTGATGAAATGCATTTGTTTTCCATGTACTTAGCTCACGTGCAATTAAATTCTGTAGTTCTTTAGTATGCAAAATGTTGGAGTTCTCTTATTCTATAGTATTGGTAGATTTCGGGTTTTCTTTTACAAGGTTTTCTGAGAAACCCTCTACTCATTCTACAACTTCTTAGGCTTGAAACTCATCCTCCAAAGTGTTCTTCCAAGCTATTACAATAGCTCTGATATGTTTTCCAATCTCGTGAGAATGTCAATTAGGCATTAATTTTTTTTAAAAATTCTTTTTCTTACTCGTGTCATTGAAATACATAACAGAACAATGTATATTGTGCCTACTGCCTAGGAAAATGAGGTGGAGACAAAATTTAGTGGTCTTACTATTTGCTAGTAAAATTGATGCTTTCTTGTACCGTGCACATCTTGTCCATGTGGGGATGAGGTGTTTACACTACATGATAAAGTAATGGCATGGAAATGGTGGAGTGTTTTGGTGCAACACATTGCTATATCACATCTCATGTTGAGAGATAAGACCTATCACATGATATAAAGCCAATATCACATCTCATACTGAGAGGTAATACCTATCAATTGATGTAATGTTGAGGCACAGACAAGTGGCAAACTGTTTCCATACACATTTTCCTCTCTCTGTCTTTACATGCATATGCTGTTCTCGAATGTATTTCTTTAGAAATATAGGACTACTATTTCTCCAACCTCATCAGTTTCTAAACTTACGGTGTCAACATATTACATATCTGTTTCTGAAACACGTGATATGTGGGGTTCATTGCATTATAGTTTTCTTCTTCGTCTTCATTTTTCCCAAATACAAATTGGAAGTCTTTTGCTATATATGATTATCAAGATTACTAAATCCTTTAAAATTGGAAGTAATAATTTAATTAAACTCCATAATTATCTTTTAAAAAAATACCATAATTATCCAATTAAATTATATGAGGATATCATCACATAAGAAGAAATATCTAGACGAAAAAACTAACATTTTATTTATTGCTAAAAATAAGTGTTATCAATGTGATAATGAACTTCTACTTGGTGATGGTCTGAAATCCTTGGTGGTTATGAAACTCTCTTGCTTTCACTGCAACCATGACAACTTGATAATTTATTTATGTTTTCTATGAATTAAGCAATTGAAAGGGTAATTCTTATAAATCACGTTCAATTCCAAAAAATACATGATTGTGTCTGGTATTTTGTGGCCTTGTTTTTCATTATTTATTTTTGCTATATTTGTGCTAAAAGGCTTTCATAGTATCAGCTAAAATGTTTGCTATGGAGTACATATTCTTATTGGAAATATTTGCCAACCTGAATGGTAGTAGGTCTGTTAATGTTAGTGGCAATGGATCATGTTCTGTATATCCCAGTCCGAGTTCCTCTAGGATATACTTTTGCTTTAATTTTATTTCGCCGACTGTCTAATTCTAGACTTTGCTCACTATGTCTACTCGCAATTTTTTTTTGGTAATCTTGTATTTTACAATAGCTTAAGGAATTATACTTATTGAGATTCCTCTACTAATTGACTTAATTCCTAAACAGATCCGCTATATGCTGCTTTTCATGATGAGGAATGGGGAGTTCCTGTCCATGATGATAGGTAGGCATCATACTTCACGGTATTTTGCTTATTCTTGTATTGTCTGCAATATAACAAGCCTGCTCTTTTATATGATCTTCTCAGTTGATAGTGACAATGTGCAGGAATCTTTTCGAACTACTTAGTTTATCCACAGCATTAGCAGAACTTTCATGGCCGACCATTCTGAGTAGACGACAGGCATTCAAGTAACAATGGAATATTCTATGATTTTTTAGGGCAATTAGTACAGGTGTTATTTTCCGAGACTTAGATTGAATTATTTGTTATGCAGAGAAGTGTTCCAAAATTTTGATCCTGTTGCTGTCTCAAAACTGAATGAAAAGAAGATAACGGTTCCAGGAAATCCCGCCAGCTCTCTTTTGTCAGAGTTAAAGCTGCGGGCAATTATTGAAAATGCCCGCCATGTATGTAAGGTAAGTGTCATTTTCCATCTAGATTGCCAATTCATTCCATCCAGAAGTATAAATCTTTACTTTATCATCTGTGAAGTGGTAGTTAGTGTTAATAATATGCTCATAATGCAGATAATTGATGAGATTGGGTCCTTCGACAAATATGTTTGGGGTTTTGTAAACCACAGGCCTATAGTTGGTCAGTTCCGATACCCAAGACAAGTTCCAATCAAGACATCAAAAGCTGAAGCGATAAGCAAAGACCTAGTCAGAAGAGGTTTCCGAGGAGTAGGACCCACGGTCATTTACTCCTTCATGCAGGTTTCTGGAATCACAAATGACCATCTCATCAGTTGCTTTAGATTCCATGAATGTATGGCGTGGGGCAATGCAAGGAACAAAGGCGATAGCCTCAGTGCTGCCAAGCTCAAGGTAAAACAACCTGAGGATGACGACGCTGAACTTGGACTAGTAAGAGCTATTGACAACTCGAGCTTATCCACATAGATTTCTTTTTTATTCCATGCATCGAAATATATACATACATGAGTAGTTTCCTGCTGTCCTGCCCTTCTGTACTATAATATTCCTTGTACAAATCACTGTGAACCTATAATGTTCATTGCTTTTTAGATCATAAACCGATTTGCAAGTTAAGAAGTCATTGACATACTCTTCATCATTGCTTGTCCTGTTGTGTTTTTGTGAAACTTAAGATTAGTACATAGTAAATGTGTCATTTCCAGGTTTTGGTCAAGTTGAGTTGGTAGATAGTTGATTAGCTAATAGCTTCTAGAAGGTAGACTAGTTTGAAGTCTCTTGCCAACAAAAAGTGAAATTCCTCACCCCAAAGGCTCTTAAACTCTGGCTCGACAGGATGGTGGATGAGTAAATTATGGTGACTCAGTGGTCTTTTAGGTGAGAGGACTCGTGTTTGGCGTTCACAAGAAGTCACCACATTAAATGTTATTCTCACGCTGCGACTGTCAAATTTTGATCATATAACTTTGTTAATAATTTACTACTTGAGTACCAAATAAGTTGTCCGTGTGGGCGACTGAGCAGTTTCTTTCAGGCATTAAACTCTATAACTCCTGCGTAGGGTTTGAGTCTTTCTTATTTAGGTGGTGTCAACTTCATCTTTTAAAGTATCCAATGCTCTTATGAAGGACCACAAGAAGCTTCTTTCTCTCTTATCTTATGTATATACTCTGGTTTTACGTGTTTTTTTATTTTTTATTTTATACAGATGTTTATCTATTCTTGTACAGTTTTGTACTGTGTAAGATGTAACTAGTTTTTGGTATTCAAAAGAGTTGTGATCATTTGTGATAAGATTCAACTAATTTTCAGCAGTTAAAATAATCGTGTAATATGACTAAATTAATTTTTCAGTAGTCAAAAGAGTCGAGATACGACTAAATTAGTTTTCGGTGGTCAAAAGGACTGTCGTAAGGTCTATTTAATTTTCGGTGTCCTGATAAGATCAAACTTGTTTTTGCAAACGAAAAGAATTGTGATGAAATTGAATTAGTTTTCGGTGACCGAACGAGATGTGATAAGATCAACTAGCTAATTCGGTGGCCGAACGAGATGTGATAAGATCAACTAGCTTTTGGTAGCCAAAAGAATTATGGTAAGATACAAAGATCTACCTAGTTTTTGGTAGCAAAACTAAACTACTCCCTATGTCTCATTTTATCTATTTTATCTATCATACTTATTATTTATTGGTCAAATCAATTCTTTCTTCTTACTTATTTCTATTAGTATTTTTTTTTATAATTTTTAAATTTAATTCTTTTTTGGTGTTTAATAGTATTTTAAATATATAAATTGTAAATCTAAACTTTTCCGGTAGCTAAAGGAGTTGTGATAAGATTTTAATAGTTTTTAGTAGACAAGAGTTATGATAAAATTTAACTAGGTTTTTTTGTCTGTACGGAGTTAGCTCAATGGTTCAATAGACAGTATCGGTAGCGGTAGCCGATAGTGTGAAGATTATGTACAAAGTGGACAGATCTTTTGTGCGCACCGATAATGTTTTGTCGGGGTATGGGAGACCCTTGTAGTTGGAGATTCAACCTTCTTTCTCAAGGGTTATGATAACTTTGGATAAGATTTAATTAGGTTTTAGGGTTTGTGAGGCATATGAGAGATGTAAATAGTGTAATGGCATAGATTTCAAACAATTAGCAAAAATAGTCAAGCAAAGTTGGTAAGAATTCTTAATTGTGATTTAAAGTCTTGAATTCAACCACTTGAGTAATCCAATCAAAAGTAGCCTTGAAGCTCTTAGCTACCCATATGGTATGGGCCCCTCTTGAACATTGATTTTGATGTACCCTAAACTGGTATTTACATTAATTCAACTACTTCTACTTCACTTCAAACCTTTCCATTCGTCAAAGACTATGACAAAAACAACTGCAAAGCTTCTACGGTAAAAAAAAAAAAAAAAAAATTACCATTTTTCTGTCTGATTATGAGGAAAGATGAATTTTCCGGAAATGGCGGCTGCAAGAGCTGCTTTGAAGCTGGGATCTTTTGTCAAGGAAGAAGCCATCTGTTCTATCAAGAATTGGTGGAAGTCCGGTCTGTCTGCCAGCTGCGGCAATACTCTGGCGGCGGCGGCGGTGGCGGTGGGGGAGACTTTACTGTTACTGTTCATGGCGGTGATGGGTAATGATGGTTTGGGCTCTGTTAAGTCAAGGGTGATGGTTGGTCCTGCTGAGGCGGCGGCGGCGGCGGGAGCAGGACGGGTGGTGATGGTGGCCGGAGTGGAAGGGGCGGCGGCGGAGGATTGATCTATCTTTGAGGGGTGTGGGTGGTTGTGCTCTCCCTCATAGGTTGCCACCAAAACGGACTGATCTTCCACGCTTCTCTGAACCTTTTTCTTGACTGGGCAGGTGGGAGCAAAAGAGCATTTGAAGTAAGCTCTGGGCGATGGATTATCTCGAGTCACCTTCTGCCCATACTTCCTCCATTGATACCCATCCTTTACAATCTGCAAACACACAAACATTTCACGCTTAGCAAAAAGTCTGCAAATACATCACTGCTAAACTAATTTCTTGAAACTTAATTGGACTTACCAGGCCAGTATCAGATGATTCCGTCCGGACATAAACCTTGGAGGTCTTAGATTTGATGTGCTGTTGTTGTTGTTGATGATGATGATGATGATGGTGTTGTTGTTCCTCCCTGGGTTTCTTGACAGAATCTTCATCACTGGAGCTGCTCTCCGAGTGTCCTCCATTAGTATTAACGTTGTTGCTCTCCGATTTCCTCTTTCTTGATCCCTGCGGCAGAACACCCACAGGGCTACTGTTTTCCTCACATCCATTGTTGTTCTTCATCATATACCCCTTCAATTTCTCCCTCAAAACATTGTAATTCTCACACATGATTGTCAGCATTTCCGTCAGTTTCTTGTTCTCCGCACTCACTCTATTCAACTCCTCTATTAGACCATCCGCCTGAAATTAAACACACAAAACCAAACCACTTCAAAATCATACTAAAAAGTAAAAATCCCAGATTTTCAACCACCGGAAAGTGATCAAAAACCTTTAAAAATCTCAGATTTTAAACCATCAAAAAGTGGTCAGAAATTTTTTAAAACCTGAAATTTATTTTGAACCATCAAAGAAGTGAAAGATAAGATATGAATACTACACACCTCATTTTTTATTGTCATGTTGATGCCCAACCCAATGAAATTGCTCTCCACTTCTTGCTTCTAAAAGTGGGGAAAAAAAAAACACACAACTTTAGCTAAAACTTTAAAACTACCTAACCTCAGCTCGTATATATATGTTTTCTTGAACGACAAAACACAAAACCATGCAATCTAGGTACCACGTACCGGTACTCCGGCGTCGGCGGCCGGCCGGAGAGGTTTAATGTTGAGATCCAACGAAGTATCAACCAAGCTAGTAAACTCCATGGCTGCAAGCAAATCCCCAAGCTAAGAATATAATAATCCTCCGAGCGAAGATCTTAAGAGAAGCCCAAGTTAATTGTTGGGTTCAATGAAGAGAAGATACACACATATATAATATGGAGTTGATAAGAAACTGCTCACCAAATTGAATATATTTATAAGGAAATTAAACCTAAAAAAATGTGATTAATACTATGCAGTTGGCCGCTAGCAAAGATATTTGGTAATATTTTCCAGAAAAGTAAGGAGTAATGCTTTCTTGTCGGCTTCGACAGTTTGACTTTCTTTGTCATAGTCAAAGTCAAGCCATCCCTAGGAAATATAGAAGAAAGGAGAATACCAATAAATAATTAATTAATTAAAATAAATTAATCAATAATTGAGGAACCGAGGGTGGATATGGATAAAGGAAAACTTGGGTTTCAACCTATTTTTATTTTATTATTATATTATATTTTTATTATTGTTTATTTGTCACGTCAGCCGACAAAAAATTTTATTTCGGAAAATGTTTATCAATGGATACGAACAAAGAAATAAGAATGCCTTTGCGTTACCTTCCTGTCACGTTCCCAAACATTTTACACGTTATGTATTATTGTATTTTAGTTATTTGTTTTTATTTAAAAATACAGATTATTTATTAAGGGGAGGGGGTATATTTAACTGATAAAATAGGTTTTAAGTGAAGATTAATGATTTCTTCTAGAAATACTGTTCTTGGGGAGTTGTTCTATCATGGACTACAAGGAGAACCTTGGTCCTAAATAATGTATAAATTATGTATTGATATTGTAAACTTTTAAAATATAAATTGTGATTTTAAATCAAAACACAGAAAATTTGTGAATACAATACATGGTCATCAAATTTTAATATGTTAATAATGTATGACTGCTCAAAGGAACTTGTGAATACAAAACAAGGTAATCGATATATATATATATATATATATATATATATATATATTTGTGTATTTGCATTATGCAAATTATGAATTTTTAAAAGGTAAATTGTGAACATTTGGACCCGGAATCCCGAATGTGTGGTTCTAGGGTCATATTGAAAAAATAGACTTGTATGGAAGGAATTATTTTGATTTATTGTATGATAGGGTTTATTTATTTCTTTCTTTTTATTGTCATGACTCATGAGTTTGGTATCCGGTAACAATAATGATATTTGACTTATCTAGTAACGGATTGCTATTACAATTTTTCGGTGGAGATTTTTTTTTAATATGTATTACTCTTTTTATCATATTCAAAATCAAAATCTTTTGATTAAAGAGTAAGACGAGTTTAATATTCTTTAATTAAGAATTTGAGTTGAAATCTTTGTCATAGATCTGGCTTTGATAGCATCAGAATTTGAACCATGTCGCTAATAGCATATAAATTTGAACTCACAATCTTTTTGCATGAGTTTAACTCTGATAACAAATTGAAAAATTTGTTTTATCTTAATTAAAAACAAAATTGTATGTATGGCACGTTTATTATTTTTATATATTTTGCTCAGTAATAACGTCAAGAAAGCTCCTCAAATAAGATCCAACACTAATTCGACTGTGAATTAATAATCAACGTAATTATCCGATACTAGAATATCGTAATACCAATATATATTGCTTATGACATTGTAAAAACCCTTGAATAAATTAATATTATATTTTAATAATCTCCATTTACTAAATCAAGACTTAACATTGTTTCATTTCAAAAAATAAAAATCAAAACCTAACATTTTATTTAGTTTTTATCTTTTCAAACACATTTGAATTTTTGTTTTACATGTTTTGAATTTTTTTCGATATTCAAGTCGGAAAGCAAGAAGATTCCATTGTTCCTTTCGGGGTGGTTAATCATCAGTTTGAATGTTGCACCACCCAGAGCCTAGAGGTTAAATACCCAAGATTGCTCAAGTTGAAAGTCATTATTAAACTATGTATTTATACATTATATTTTGTATACACGTATAAAAAAAAAAAAAAAAAAGAGAGTAAAATGTGAACACCTTTTTGGTTGAATCTGTAGCATCAGATCTTTCTGTAAGATTTTCCCTTATAATATATATTGTATATTATATATTAGGACCTTAATTAAGTGGTGCAAGTTGACTAGACTTATTAAGTGGTCTGGTTGGACTTAATAACTAGTAGTTGTTAGTCAACCAAACTCTGTGCCTAATATAACCTGGATTGATGGGATACAGGATTATGGATTAGATAGCACATTCAGTTACGGTACTCAGACCGCTCAGTAGATACCAATACACCATCTAGGGTTCTGAGTCAGGTCTGAGGCAAAACATGGCTAACGGTCTACCGTTAAGAGGCAATACTACAGGAACATCAACTATGGCTGGAGATCTACATGGCTACGCTTCCGCTATCATACGAGGTCAGATTTCTCGTATACTGTTATTCATTATAGTTAGACTATTGCATATCTAACATTTGGTATCAGAGCCATTATAATCTCTGTCTGGTTGATTGTTATTGCCTAAAAAATCAACATTAATATCATATACATTGAGTTTTTGTATATACTTTGATTTTCAATTACATTACATTAATTCTTCAAAATATGCGTACAGAATTGTATCTATTTAGTTTTGATATAATTTAGTATTTTAGCATGTATATTTAGAAGATTATTTGTAATTGTTTTTGGTATGCTGGAATTATTTTTGGCATTCAACACAATTTTAATTCCTTTTGGATTTGTGGAATTATATGTTGTGTTTTATTGTGAACCACTGCCTAGCAAACAATGTTTTGGCGAGCTACTGTTTTTTAATTTTCTGGGACCAGTCGCCGGCGAGACGTTCACCGTCATTTTCCTCCGAGCCATCGTTGTTATGCCATTAAGTCGTGAGTCGGAGATGGCATTGCGACTATAGAGGACGGCGGCGAAGCTGGCGTTGCACCAGGACGGACGGCGGAGGCGAGGCTGGATTTTCCCGGCCACGTTGCTGCTTGTTCTTCTCCTTCAGGCGACGGCGGCGACCGGCTGTTGCTCCTCCCTCTCCGCACTGCTCTTAGGACCGACGACGGCAACCTTTGGCGTTGAGCGAGGTGGTCCGGCAGAGGCGTGCTTGACTTCTCAGCGTCCCCTCCTCCTTAAGGCCGTCGTTGCTCCGTCTCTGCTTCTCAAGTTTTGGGTGACGCTAATGAGTCACCAGGCTGCTAGGGTTACAGTGGTAGAAGAAGATGATGAAGGCAAATGTTTTTGGGCCGGGTCTGGCCCAATTCGGCCAGACCTGGATCTTTAAAAAAAAAACATATTGGGCCTGCTTTAGTTTATTAGGCTTACTTCATTATTTTTCCTTCATCATATATAAGCTTCTTCTATCTTAATTTTCAGTTTAATTCCTCCTTAATTAATTATTAAATTATCATTCAATTTGAGGCAAATATTAAGTTTTAATTTGCTGCTTGAATTTTAGTTTAATGTTAAGGTGCAAATTAAATTGCCTCAAGTGTTGCAATTTATTTAGAAAATATGTGTTAATAATATATTAATATGCAAATCCAAGCATGCTATGTATATTCATACATTATTGTTATATTATACATTCATAATAGCATGTATTAAGGTTGGATTTAGCATATTATTAACTCATAAATTCTTTTTAAATATCATTCAATTTTGGATCCTTAGGCCAAATTTAGTCATTTCGGCATGTTAAAGGTAGCTTGTTTCGTTTCCCTTTAATTTGAGCACATTTTAATTTTATGTGTCTCTGGGACTTTAGAACCTATTTTGAACAAGCTATTCAGGACCTATCTTCGGTCAATAAAGTATGGATCCCACCTTTTTGATTGATATTTTAATAATAATTATACCTCCTTATAACATGTTTATTAAGTTTTAATTATTACTAACTACCATATTTTGGTATTCATCGTTGGTAATAATATTAAGTTTTGAGTCTATTTCAGTACTTAGACCATTTTTATTCATGTTATAATTCACTTGGGTCATTGAGGTTTATGAGCCTAATTTGAATGATTGAGTGCTATAATTATTGTCTCGGCCTGTTTAGAGACATTAAGGATTTAAGGATTTAATTGTTATTTTGGCCATTAAGAACTATAACTATTGTTTAAGTCGATTAAATTTTTAATCTATCAATAGTTTTTCAGGGCCTTAATAATAATATTAAGTCTTTAATTTTAGGGTAAAAGCAATATAGTTGGTATATTGTCTGTATAATGGTAATTTGGTTATTACCTTAACTTCAGTCTCCCTTAGTATCATAATAATCATGGTTAATTATTATGTGGTAAATTGAGATTAGTATTTGACATCCCTTAATTACAGTTTTGCCTTTATTGTAGTTATTATTAATTGGCATTATTAATTACTGTTATTAAGTTTAAGGGGCTAATCTCATTTTATTACCTTTCATAATAATTATTATTTAATGGTAATCTGCTATATTTGGTACATTGGCATTGACGGATATATTAGGAACCGACCCGCACCGACCCGAGGTGCGCGGGCAAGAACGGGTCCCGGGGCGGCGCCACGTACCCGCCCCGGGAGGGCCTCGCCACGTGGCCCCGCGCGGGCCACGGCAGAGGCCGGGCCGGCCTCTCCAGGAGGCCGGGCCGACCTCCTTGTGGGCTCGGCCCGAGCCCACGACGGGCCCGGCCTGGCCCCATAACGCGGCCCGGTCGCAAGACCGGGCGCGGTCAACTTAGATCTAACCACCCCCCCCCCCCCGCTTTGGGGGGTGGCGGTTAGGGACGGGGGTTGTATAAAAACCCCCCACCTTGTCCAGTTAGGACACGACCTACTCTATGGACACACTTTGTACTGAAGAATCACTGTAATAGCCAATTCCACGGCATTTAATACAATATACGATCCACCGCGGCCTTTACCATCTCTTTATTATTCGTATTCTTATCCGGGTTTATTGATTCGGGTCTACCCCGGGTTAATTAAATCCATCAGTGGTGCTCGTGTTGAGAGCTGCTGTACAAGCTTGAGCGCTCTCTCCCCACTATTGTTCATCGACAGCGATGGCACGATCGAGATCCAGCTCTCGTCATACCAATGGTTCCCGCGGCACCCAGCTCGTCGCGAACGGGAACGGCCCCAACGGGGCCCCCGCCCCCGGCGTC